TGCTTCTCGCTTCACATCCTCAGAACTGACATCTGCAACCAACATCAACTTTGCCGCGTCAGTACATCTGAAAGGAGTGGAAAGCCTTATCTGTTCTGCTTGCTCCTCTGAAATTGGGTTAGAAGAACCGCCCAAGATATCCGAGAAGTAATCCACACAATAAGCTTTAACCTCATCAAGGACCTCCACTCTCTCCCCCGTAGGCTTGACAAGGTAATGGATTTGGTTTGCAGCTCTTCTAGCGTTGACGACCCTGTGGAAATAAGCTGAATTACCATCCCCAAACCCTGACCATTTGACCCGAGAACGTTGCAATAGAAAGTGTTCCTCTGCAATTGACAAAGTTCTAAGTTTTGCTTGAGCATCTCTTTCTAAACCAGCCAAGATAGGAGAGGGGTCAGCGAGTAATTGCTGCTGTTGAGATAAAAGATCATCATGTGCTTCTTTAACTCGAACCTCCAGATTGGAGAAGTGTTCGCGGTTGATGTCTTTGATTGTAGGCTTTAGAAGCTTTAGTTTCTTTGATAGAGAGAACATTGCAGTGCCCAGTATGTTGGTGTTCTGCCAATGATCAGCCACCCTAGGTAGGAAGTCTTTGTGTTCCATCAGAAAATGAGAGATTTTGAATGATTTTCTTGCACGGTTTTGGATACCCAAAGAGATGGTGCCAGGACAATGATCCGAGAAATCCAGGTTTCCAAAGTTTGCAAAGGAGAGGGGAAAAGACAATAGCCATTTATCATTAACCAAAATCCGATCCAGCTTCTTGACAATAGGGGAAGAGAGACGTTTATTCCACCAAGTGTAGAAATTCCCTCTAATAGAAAGATCTGATATACCACACTCACTGATGCAATCCCTAAAATCAGCCATACCACTCGAAATTCTAGTACCACCCTGAGAGCTTTCCTCCGGTGAGAGTGTTTGATTAAAGTCACCTTGAACAACCCAAGGCTTTGATTCAATGATCGGATCAGCAGCTAAAGCACATAACTCAGCCCACAACTTCTTCCTCTTGTACTTACAATTGAGAGCATAGACGAAGGTGACAGCCACCTCTTGGACAAAGTGAGGGAGCTTCACTAAGCAGGTTCTGACATGACTTCGAATGGATAGACAACTAAACTGATGGTTCCCATAGAACCCAGATACGACCCAGTGGAGCAAACTCATAGTTACTTGCAAAATTCCAACCCGCAAAAGAAGATTGTATATACTTGAGAGACTTGTGAACTTTCACACGAGTCTCGATAAGGCTACCAAAAAAGGGCTTACTACGCCTTAGCCATTTACGAAAGCTACTCCGCTTCTTACTACTATTAAAGCCTCTAATATTCCAAAAAAATGAGTCCACACTCATTACTGCGATTGTTATGCTTGGAGCGAGAGCCCAAGCTGCGCTTTTCCTGCTGCCTCTCCTTTTTTGTGAGAACTTTAGTGAACTGAGAGTTGTCTACTTGCTGCGTATTTCCATCAGAAGAGGAGTCAGAATCCGAGTCATCATGATGTTCTGAGGACGATGACGAAGAAGACGATCCCAAGTCCGAACCAGGGGAGGAGGAGACAGCCTGAATCTCCTTTCCCTTGCCTTTGAATGAAGACTTCTTCTTACTATAGTGCTTAGGAGTTTTCAGAACAATACCTTCCTGGGGCAGCAAGTAATCTGTTCTTGTCTTAGCACTAGTAGGTTCACCAACCTGCTTCTTAACCTTCTTCTTCTTTTGTTTCTTTTTACCAGATTGTTCAACAAGTACAGGAACCTCAGTTTGAACAGGTAAGACTTGTGTGGATGCAGGTTCACTTAGCCTTTTCAACCGTGGGCAGTTGTCCTTTAAATGGGCTTTAGAGTTACAGCTATCACAGGTTACAGGGCCAGAGGGACAACGACGTATTGAA